AAATGACTGCAACACATTTAATTTTAAGAAGTTTCTTGCACATTATCATTTTACTTGTAACAGTGATGTTTTTATCCCTAGTGACTTAGTGAGCTAAACTGCCCCAACAGATATCTCAACACAAGGCTCGGTCAGATATTGGGATGGACTGCTCAGGAAAGTGGTGGAGTCAACATCCATGGAAGTGTTCAAGAAATGACTGGATCTGGCACTTTGTGCTATGGTCTAGTTGATAATGTTGATCATTCAAAAGTGTGGACTTCATGACCTTGGAAGTCTTTTCCAAACGAAATCATTATGATCCTTGAAATGGGAGAAAGAAAGGTTTTGACAGGCTCCTTATAAGGAAGAAATAATTCATTCCCAAGATCTATTCTCAATAAATGTAAACTGAATGTGCTCAGTCCTTGAGGAAATACAGAGCAGCATTAATTCACACAGTACTGGGACTATGGAACAAATAATGCCTTCCCCTTCAGTCCATCTGAGAATGACTTAATACATTAAGTATGGAGCCACAGAAAGGCAGAGGACACAGAAATTAATGTCAAGAGGATTTAGCCCAGTTCTAGATGTTTGTTTCTTTTAATTGTTGTAGGAAACTGGCAAAGCATGCTTAGTATTTTCAGTAAATTTTCCTAAATGCTTTTAGATTCCAGTCTCTGACTCCAGTTTTAGAATTAACAAGGAATTTAATCAAAATAAAAAGCTGCACTTTGAAAGGGCTCATTCGGTGCTGCCAGTTTATTCCACTTCAACAGAGAAACTCTAAAGAGCTGGCAATATTTATCCTAGAGTATTTGATTTAAAAGGCTAGCAAAAGGCAAAAGTTCTTTTTTTAGGCCTTAAATTAAAAATTGCCTCTGAACATAATGAAAGAAACTGTTTTATGAAAACACTGTAAAACTGAAGACTGACCAGCTACACTATTTTCTCCACCAACCAATCTTAAGATGGTAATTTCATCAGCACTCATCATTTCCATCTGCTTTTCCCGCATTTGAATTCCCAGCTTCACTACATTGCAAAGTACAGTGATACTCACTGCCTTTACATACAGCAGTGTTTTTTAAGCTTTCACACAATGTTAGAATACATTTGTTATCTGTAAAACCTACAGCCTTCTTCCAAGAAATGAAACCTCTTGTTATCTAAAAAGGCACAGAGAAACAGGTTAAAAAAGATTTGGTTTAGCATTGTAAACCCAGTTGTTTCAGTAGGCCTATCATTCTTTCTTGTTTTGATTATTTTAGTCCTGTCTACTCAATTTTTCTTGTTTTTTTTTCCTTACAGCTTTAGCTCTAAGAACCCTCCATCCTCCATTCCCAAGTCTCCTTCTCTGTCTTTGACCCCCTACCCTCTGAGAGTTTAGAAATATTTTATGCAGTGCATGAATCCAGACCCTTGTCCAGCTTTAGTGCAGGAATGCCAGGACTCGACTTTCCTGATAAGATTTAACCACTGGGGTGACTTATGTTGGCCAGCATTATGTCGCCTGCCATCATTTTTCTACATTTAGACCTTGTTTCACACAAAGACAACTGTGCAGCTGTATGTAACTTCCTTTTAGATCAACACAACTGGTGAAATGTTCAAGCCTTTTATACTTTACTGTAATGAGCAAAACTGACTGCAACTGGCCTAATGCTCTGAAAAGATTATTAGGAAGGAATTTCACTGCGTGTGGCCAAGGGTGCTTTTCCAAGCAGCTCACAGAATAGCCTTCTATTACACGCAGGAAGTTAGCCAAATTAAGCTTGCTGTTTTGCAGCCATTCCTTCCTCTCTGTGTAGCTCTGGAATAGAAAGTTCCCAAAACGGTGAGATGGAAACAGAGGCAAGAAATACTCAGCTCGGTAAGGTCTTCCCTCGAGAACATCCACTGAAAGAAAAACTAACTAGCAATTAAAGTAGCTTAGATATGGCTTTAACACTTCCTGGTTTATTTTCTGCAGTTAACACATCTTCCCACTTGATTTCAGAAAGTGGAGGGAACTTGGGGCAAACCTGGCAGGACAAAAGTTCAGCCTCAGATGAACATTTGCAAGTTGTTCAAGTGCTATGCCAGTGCAGCTGGAGCCAAAAGTGGAGCACATTTGGTGCCTGTGGTGGCATGACAAGAGCAAAGATGCCTCTTGCTTGCTTGTCTGCTCCTTACCCCAGAAACTAAAAAGATTCACCCACATTCTGTGTATCTGTTAATATACACAGACTCAATAGGAAGTAGATACTCCAGATGAGGGGTAGAGAGATGAAAGAGGTGGATCCATGAACTCCTCCTGCTTTTCTCTGGGATTTCTTTAGTGGATTTAAAAATTTCTGCCCAGATCTGTAAAGAAAGAAGAAAGACTAAGTTGAGATAACTGACACATAGGTTAACTTATTATGGATGATTTGTTGTTCATTGTCACTCTTCTCACTCTTTTTGGTTTTTATTGTAAAATTTCTCAACTATGACATGAAGAATTCTTCCAGTGGCATTAGTGTTATTTTTATTGCAGCAGGTGGCTAAGATCCAGTAAACAACAGCCATTACCCCATTTGGAAGAGTATTTCTACTGACTTGCTAAACGCTTATTTAAAGTGGAAATAGTGGTAGAACAGAGAATAAAAATTGCTTTGACATGTGAACAATCATTACTCGTGAATAAGTGATGGAGTGAAAAATAATTTTCTTCTCTCACACACATGCAATCATGAAGTTCTTTTTCTTTTCCTTTTTCCTACTGTCTACATATTAAATATCTCTGCTCTCAGAAACGCTGAGATGAAAACCATATTAATAGTAAAAGAAAGTACTACAAGCTCATCTCTGGTTTGCAGCATTCAGGATTCCTAACACTTCCAAAATTCTGTTAGAGTTAAGTTTATAAATCCAGCAGAACATTTATAAAACATGCCTAAAATGAGAAGACAGTTAATATTCTAGCAAGCTATCTATGAATTTATGAAACTGGCATCTCAAGAGTAACTATTTTGTGAAGTCCATAGCCAGAAACACAAGCATCAGTTTAAACTCATTTCTACACAGAAGGTAGATTTCATGATCCGAAAGGAAAAAAGCCCAATTTTATAGTATGTACAAAAAGAAAAAAAAAAAAAAAACCCAACCAAATCGTGCAGAAAATAATTCTGCAGTTTAAGCTACTTGGTTAAAAATAATCTGTCATTTTCTTAGTATCAGCAACTGGCAGCAGAAAAATAATAATTAAAAAAACCAACAAAACCCAAACCAGAAAAAATCAAAACAAACACAAAAGCAAAAAACCAACCCTAACCCTCCCCCCACACCAAAAACTCAGGTCTATACCTAGATGTAAAAAAATTCTCCACACGTGAAATTTCCAAGTACTGTTACTGTTTAGAAGTTTGAAAGCATACACTTCACTCCTTCCCCAATATGTGCAAATTCTAAACCATCTCAAGGTTTCTGCCAAGCTTTCTTGAAAAATCAGTCAGCGAGTCTGATAAGTTTCAATTTCCCACCCACTTTTGAGGGGAAATGCAGTTTCTGCAAAGCTTTTCAATCGCTTGACTACAAAATAAGTCGGAGGTGGAGCCGGGGGGGCGGGGGGGGGGTTGGTGCAAACAAAAAGGAGACGACAAAGTTTCGAGCCAAGGCGATGTTGTTTGCACCTCTCAGATTTTATGCCGGGCACGCTTGACATTCCTCCGCCGCATTCCCTGACGGAGCCGCCTCCCCGCTGGGGGCGGCTTGCGCTGCATCATGGAAAATGTAGTCTGTCTGGGAAAACCAGCCTGCCGCAGGGAAGCCGCTCCAATTCCGGCTTCTGCAGGGCACGGCACGCGAGCAAAGGGCTGCTCGCCGGGCGAGTAAGTGCTGTTTGCAACTGCAGCCGCCAAAAAATGCCTCTTAGAAGCTACAGTTCCGAAATATTTAATTAATAACAAATTTTGTTTTAAATTCGATTAATAAAAAATGGCGCCTGCTCTACCATGAAGCATCAAGGCGTAATCCCATTTCCCAGATAAAATTCCAAAATGCCAAAAATATTTACTTTAAAATTTAATTAGTGGAACAGGAGTCAACCGCAGTTGCTCCGCAACGACACGCAGCCCACAGCCGCTCGGCCGATCCGCGCCGCGCGCCGCTTCCATGCGCTCGGTGCTCCGGGAGCGGCGGCGGCAGCAGCACCTCGGCACCCTCAGCATACGTACACATCTAGCTATCTCTATACATACGTTTGAGGCGCCGGCACGGACCCGAACGGCACGGTTTTTAAAGATCACCGAAAACACCCTGACCCTCCGCTGTGTCACGACTCACTGCCGCTCCGTGCCGCCCTGTCCCGCGTCTCGGCTCTCCCGGAGCGCTCCCAAGCCCTCTGCAGAGCCAGCCGGGCGCTGGCACCAGGATGACGACCTTTACCGTACTACGGCTAATAGAAGGAAAGTGAAACTCCCCACAAAACTCAATACCAACACATCTTGGAGCGCGCCTCACTCATGTAGCTCAAGAGCTTGTTATGTGCGTGCATCTGGGCTCCTGATCCAGGGGCCCACCTCTGAAGCAGGAGCGCAGGTCTTTCAGCCCGGCGCGGCCGCAGCTGGTGCCGTACTTCCCGTCGGCGCGGCGCGGCCCGCCCCTCCGGCTTTCCCGGCAGAGGTGACCGGGTTCAGGCCGCGGCGGCGGCCCCACCCCCGCATTCCATTCCCTATATGGCTGCAGAGGGGGGGGCGCCGCCGGCCACGCCCCCCTTTCCCACCACGCGCGCGAGGGCGCGCCAGGGCTTGCGCGCGTGACATCAACGGGAGAAGAGGCTGGCAAGGCGGAGGGCGGAAGCGCGCGCCACCCCTTCGATCTTCCCCCTCCCCCCGCCCCGCCGTTCTATTTACGTTGTGACGCCAATTTGCATAAGGCCCCGCCCCCCGCAGCCGGCGAGGCCCCCGCGGCCCCGCCCTCTTCGCCACATAAGGGCAGAGGAGGGCGTGTCCCCGGGGGCTCGCGGGCCCTCGCTGCTTTCCTGGAGCCGTTTATAGGGTACAGCCACTTCCGCTGTCGGCTTAGAAGCGGCGCGATCATGGCGGAGCGCGGTCAGCTCCCCCACCCCGCCAAGCGCCTCTGCTGCAGACCCGGCTATGGCTCGGGCTGCAGGCCGGGGCAGCGGGCGGGCGGCTCCGGGCCCGGCGGCGGCGCGCTCTGCGCCGGACCCTCCTCCGCAGCTGCCGCCGCCGCCCTGGGGCTGCTGCCGCTCGGCAAGACCCAGAGCCCCGAGTCCCTGCTGGACATCGCGGCTCGCAAGGTGGCGGAGAAGTGGCCCTTCCAGCGGGTGGAGGAGCGGTTCGAACGGATCCCAGAGCCGGTGCAGCGCAGGATCGTCTACTGGTCCTTCCCCCGCAGCGAGAGGGAGATCTGTATGTACTCCTCGTTCAACACCGGCGCCGAGGATCCCGCCGCCGGTCCCGGGGGCGCCGCCGCGCCTGGCGGGGCCATGGACGCCGCCGCCGCCGCTGCCGCCGACGAGAACCGGCTGCCCTTCCGCAGGGGCATCGCTCTGCTCGACGGCGGCTGCGTTGATAACGTCCTGCAAGTCGGTGAGTCACCGGCCGGTTCCGTTCCCGGACCAGGCCGCCGCCGCTTGGGGCCGCGGGTCTCCCCCTGCGTGTCACCCTCTTGCCGTCCCTCTCTCTCCGCCGCAGCTCACCGCCTGCGGCCCGGCCCGTGCGATCCCTTCACTCCCCGGCTGTATCGTGGGCCGGGCAACTTCCTCCGCCGGTCTCCTCCCCCTCGTGCCCGGGACGCGCTGTGGCTCCCTGCCTCCGTGACACGGACACGGCTCCCGCCTGTCCCTTTAACTTGCAGCCCCGCATCGCGCCGTGCCCGCTCCCGGTAATCCAGCCTGTGTAATCCCGTTTGGCTCTGCCCTCCTACCAGCGTCCACCCCCGATAATCCGGGTCATCGCTTTTCCTCGAGCCACAATAGCGAGGAGATGCCGCCCCCCCATCCCGAGGGGGACCGCCGGTGGAAATGAATCAGCAGAAGGGCGGCCGGCGGGGGAAGGAGGGGGGGCGGGATGCGTTGCCGTCCAAAATAAAGACATAAAAGCGGTGCGAGACCCCGGCAGCGGGAGTGCGGGGGGGATCCGCGAACAAAGGCATTTCTAGGGCAGCGGCGACGAGCAGGAGGGAGGGGGCGCGATTCGCCCCGCCGGGGGTGGTATGACTTGGAGGGGGGGTGCTTTAGGATGAGCGGCTTCGTGACAAGGAGGGGAAAACGAAGCTCTTCCTCCTACTGGAACAATACCCCCCTCCTCTTCCTCACCCCCAGCCCAGCCGCCTGCCGCTGTTCTTCACCCGCTGCGGGCTCCCTTGGTTAACTCCTCCCTGCCAGTGTTTAAAGGGCTGCAGAGGTGGGTATTCCCCCACTTTTGTGGGGGCTGTCTGCTGGGGGCGGCTCCCCTTCTATTCCTTGAATGGAAAAGGAGCCGCCCCCGGCAGATAGTCCCCTCCGCCGGTGGTGATGCTCTTTGTGCGACCCGGCCACTTTGTTCTCATTTTCATGTTTATTTGCGTCTTTTTTTTTTTTTCTTTTTTCTTTTTGTTTCCCCCCTCTCAGTTTTCTGTCGTTTCCCCTCCTCCTCCCCTTACAAGGGGAAGACAGACAAAAGAGGCTGCTGCTCGCCTTTTGTTGACGGCGGCGGCTCGGGGTGTTTGTGTGCATGTGGGGCGCTGGGATTCCCTCCTTCGCACTCCCCCAAAACCTCGGTGCTGCCTGCTGCGGGTTTGACTTGGCGGGCACCTTGCAAATGTGCTATCAGGCTTTTTTCCGAAGGGAAGATGTGACCCTCCTGCTCTTAGGCTTAGTGCCCCTCTCTTCTGCCTAGGGGGACTTTATTTTTATTTTTTTTAATTTAATTTTTTTAATCAACTTTCTTTTAAATTTAATCTTTTAACTTTCTCTTTCCAAGGGGTCTGAGGTGTATCTGTGGTTCCTCAGGACTGGCAAAACCAGAAGTAGGGCTTTTTTAATTTGGTCGGCAGTGCTGAGATTTTTTTCCCTTTTGCTTGCACTTGATTCTGTTTGCAAGCGATTAGGAATGACAGGAGTGCACATAGGGAGGGTTTCTTGGCTGATTGCATTTAAGCCAGGAATTCGCTGTGAAAATAAAGCCAAGGGGCAATAAATAAAAAGTGCAGTCCTCTCTAGGAGGCAGACACCCAGCGAGGACTTTGCTTTGCTTGCTTTCAGCAGTGGAACAGGCCTCAGTAAGTAGTTGTGAAAGAAAAAAGCAACTTTTTATGTGTCTTCAAATGTGAGGGCATTGAGCAATGTTGGCAAGGGTCAGTAAAGAAAGAAAGAAAATATGCATGAATATGACTTAAGTGTTGACTGCTTTTTTTGGAACCTTTAAATGCATTTCAAACAAATACTGTACCTACTGCTGAAAATACATTTGCTTTGTTGTATTCCCCCCCCCCCCCCCAACCTTATGTGAGCCTCCTTTGAAATTCTTGCAAAAATAGTAGTGGAAATCGGTGATATGAAAGATGTCAGTTGTTTTGACAGAGGCCTTTGGTGAGGGAGTTGTGGAGGACTTGGGTAAGTCCTGCTGTAATTTGGGTAGGTAGCTGTGCAATTAAGACTGGGGTCTTGCTGACAAGATATTCCTAGTGAAGCAGAAAGGTGCAGCTGTGAAAGGCAATTCCTGTCTAGAGTGAGTTATGCTGGGCAGAGAATGGAATTGGTTCCATATAATACAGCTGAATATGTAGCATTGATGAAAACTTAGAATTAAGTTTATGTAAGTGCATGTTTAGTGACCGTATAAATGTGAACTTATGTTCTTTGCAGTATGAGTAATGGAAACTCTGTAAATGTTTACTGTTGAGCTATGGAAAAGTGCAGTTGGACAAAATGCATTTTATTACATATCAGTTCTAACAGCCCTACTTGTAACCTGAAGTATTACTATAAACAGGGAATGTGGGACTTGATTTGAGAGACGCATAAATTTCAGTTCTGCGGTAGTTAAATGGCACCACTTGCTTCTGAATTTTGCATGTTAAGTTTTTCAGTCCAGTCCTGAATAAACATTCTGACTATTTTATCATGGTAAATAATCTTAAGCAGGAAGATTTCCCAAACCTTGTCTCTAAGGTTTGCTAAAAATCTTCATGTGATCCTCCTTCATGCCTACCAACTTAGTCTCTTGTGTGTTATATTGTTGTAAAGAAAATCCGAGATAAAATGAAGATGATGTATTAGTGATACACTCAAATAATGTTCTTGGTAATCGGGCAGTACGGTTGTCTAGTGGCCTATTTTGTAGTTTATTGGTGCTGTCCTAGCATAATAATTAGCATCACTTAATTTTGAAAGGCATTTCTCCAAAGAAAATGGTTTCAGAATTCAGTTTGCATCTAACTTATTGATGTATTTATATCTCTTTGATATGCTTCAATTCAACATGAAAGTTTTACTTTTTTAGTTTATTTCAAAAGAGCCAGAGAATGCAGGTTCCTAAAGCAAACCTTCCCAACTGCACAAAACAACTCTTTTACCATGCATGTGTTTAACTTACTTCAAGTATTTTTAGTAAAAATTAAAGTCTAAATAAGGAAGCACTTTGTGAGTAAATACAACAATCTGGAAGGAAAATTAGAAATCGACTGTGTTTCATTTGGCCAAATTTTCAAAATGCCAGGAGCAAGCAGACAGTTTTAGATGGTGAAGTGTATATTTGGTTTCTGAGGTTAGTCCTGAATTAGTACACAGTACTGTATTGTCGTCACAGCTCTGGCTGTCAAGGTTAGGAAGAGGTGTGATCCCTCAATAGCACAGCTGACCTGGCGAGAGCCCTTAATGCAGCTATTCTAGGAGAAGAAATAAACCCCTGTGCCTCTGCTGGTATGACCCTTGCTTGGGGAAAGACAGAGGTTGCCTTGGCTGTAGTGCTGTAAAACTCAGCTTCACTGCTGTAGCCGCATTAGAAGTACTTGAGAATTTTTTGATATGTCATACAAGGACTCTTACAGTATCCCTGTCTGTTGGTAATTTGAGGTAGATTTGTCTTTGTTGCGTAGACCCTGTTTGCTCATACGGGCCTTTCTTAAAGGAGTTAGAGCCCTTTCCATGGTAGCATAAGGCTCTGTGACTGCAGTAAGTCATGCTTTTAGGTATGAATGACAAGGGAGTGAGTTGGAGGGAAGGAAAATCTAAAGAATTCATTGACTGGCACTCGCCACAGCTCTAGAATATGATGTTAATATTATAAGATAGAAAGCTGCCTTGTCTGTAGAAGGAGGTTCATCTGAAGAGCATCATTAGCTTGGAGCTGCAGGCTTGTGTTTTGGAAGCCCCTCAGGGATACCTGGTTGGGGGATGTAACCAAAATGCTTTTTATAGAACAGCAAAGTAAAATTTCTCCTTTCTTAAATAGTAGTTGAAGGTCACTGATATTTCTTTAATTTGTTCTTAAGTTAAAGACTGGAGATTGTTTTGCTTTCAAAACCAGGAGAAGCCCTTTTTTTTTTCCATCAGGAGCAGGTGAAGGCTTTAGAAAATCGAATTGGTGGCTGCATGTAGTTCTGGTGGAACTTGTACTGTAGTCAGCAGATTTCAGATCCTTTTGGTGGACAATGATTTGAGGTAAATTTTGATTCTTCCTAGCCATCTTTACTGAAAAAAAAAAAACCCCAACAACTCCAACAACTTTCTGAAATGGCAGAGCAAGTAAAACAAAACTAGTTTCTCTTCTTTCGGGACTCAGTTGTTTGAGTGCCAGTGGTATAACATGAAACACTGTTTTTTTCCTTTCAATAAAACCATACCAAGTATTTTATTCACAAAGGTGACACAGATGTTGTACTGTGCTGTGAGTTGAACTGCAACTTTTATCAGATATGGTGATCCTCACTGGTGTGTGCTATATATATATGTAGTTGTTGATGAAACCTGTAGGACAGATGTATTTAGTAAAAGGATTTACTTAATGAAAGTAATACCAAGTTGTGTGACAAACCTAAGGCTGTCATTAGCAGCAGTGAAGGCACTGTGTTTAGTGTTAACCTTTTTTGACCTGTGATACCAAATTGTTCTGGTATGTGTAGTGAAGTTTTTCCAAGGGGAAAAGGTTGTGTTAAATATTGCCTATTTAAAGAGGAGAATTTTGTGTGCTGACATGCTGAAATAACAATTGTGTTGAACTTTTTTGGGTTTGGTTAGGAATGTATGAAAAAAACAAATAATCCAGAATTTGTTAATACAATATTATGGTATGGGTGTAAACAAATGATGTCTGACTTTTTGCTGGAATTTTTTTGACTTAGTTCCAAGCCTAGTAGAGAGTCTTGTGAAAATGCCTTCATTGATTCCAGTTTCAGTTTGCTCTAAGAAATAACTACTGATATTTCCAAGTTCCAGAACAGAAGCCAGTAAGTTGATTTTTAAATGATTGTTCCTGAAAGGGAGACATCTAATGTATTGTAGTTTCCTTGTAGGATTTGGAATGCAATGCGTTAATTGGTGAATATGCAAGCTATTTTCTATGCGTGTGCTCTAACAGACTATCCTTGACCTTGAATAATTTCTTTG